AGCCTCAACACAACAGTTAAACCCAAAGGTTTCTGTTAATTAAATATGTGGAGGAGCATTAAAATATGTGGACTCCAACCTTCAATCTGATGAGTTACAGCCTGGGCATGGGTTTACCACCTTAAGCGAGAATTGTCGGTTTCATCCCTTGATGTGTAAGCAGTAAGCAAGTTGTGCAATAGATCTTTCCCTTCTGTTCCTCCTGAAATCTTCCACAGCAAAATCTTCTCCAGAGGGTTCAGGAGACCTGAGGGTTCAGGAGACCTGGAGCTGCAGAAGATGCTGGGAAGGATTGTCCACGCAGCATCAAAATTACCAGCAGACCACAGGACCCTTGCCCGGTTTCTCCCCACTTCAGCCCCAGCTGACATAACATCTGGTAACTTTTCTTCCAATTTGCTGGAGAGGCTTTTAGGGTAGGATTCACTTGTGAAAAGCACAGATTTGTTAAGTCAATATGTGCTTCATTTACTGCTAAACGTCCTCATCATATTTTGTTTTCAGGACTAGGAAGGTCTCCATATCAAACAGAGGAATTGCAGTGTAATATGTGGAAGTGGTTTAGCTTAAGGCTTTTAACAAAACAAGCAACAACAACAACATTACAGCCGTTAAACTAATTTTTGGCCTATATATTCATGCCTAAAGGTAACCACAAATGAGTGTAAAGGTTATTGAACTTTGCTGATGATATTGGTGTGCGAGAAATACGCACGACTACAAATTGCTTTGTCCTTATTCTTTCGTGGATATCCTTGTAGGCATAATTTATTTCGGAATGCCACGAATGCTAGAAGGGCAGTTTGGATTGCGCCGCTTTAATGTGTCAAAGGGTTTTTTAAAGGCTAGATCACAAAACTAATTGCTACAACTGGGAATACATTAAAAGCACTTAGCATAAACAAAGGAAGGAACGAGGCATAAAACAAATTAGCAGCTTCTTGAATAATAAAATACAGGTGGGCGTTTGCTTTGTGCCAACCAGATTTTATGGGTTCCTTGAGGCAAAGACCATGCATCTTTTTCGTTGTTGCTGTTTTGTTATAATGCTTAAATAGCTGAAGGGTTCGTTTAACTGGTGCCCTGCAAGCTGTAAATAATCACCTGTGTGCAAACTATGGCTTGGCAACCAGACCAAAATGGCAATATCACAGACAATTCAGCATTTTGGATATATGTTTATATACGCAAAGGATCAAGCCAATGAGTCGCTGCAGCAACAGCTTCCGTACCCATTTTCCTAGCTGAAATATATCCCTGTTCCAACAAGTTCATACACTCCAACTGTCTGTTTTTACCAGGACAATACTTTTCCTATCTTGTCCCAATTCCGACTTTAGGGGAAATTTCGAAGTGGCTTGTTAATATCTTGCTCACGTGCACAAGCATTTTTCTTCTGCCTTATTCAGTGCTCTCTTTACATTCAGTATCTGAGTGGGAGATAGATGCATATTGAATTTAAAGCACATGCATCCAAAGAATTCTGGTAACCATAGTTTACCCTAAAGGTAAAGGTAAAGGGAGCCCTGACCATTAGGTCCAGTCGTGGCCGACTCTGGGGTTGTGGCGCTCATCTCGCTTTACTGGCCGAGGGAGCTGGCGTACAGCTTCCGGGTCATGTAGCCAGCATGACTAAGCCACTTCTGGTGAACCAGAGCAGCGCACGGAAACGCCGTTTACCTTCCCGCCGGAGTGGTACCTATTTATCTACTTGCACTTTGACGTGCTTTCGAACTGCTAGGTTGGCAGGAGCTGAGACCGAGCAACGGGAGCTCACCCCGTCACGGGGATTCGAACCACCCACCTTCTGATCGGCAAGTCCTAGGCTCTGTGGTTTAACCCACAGCGCCACCCACGTCCCTATAGTAGTTTATCCTACAGTGTTACAATTGCCACTATCCTCAATAAACTACGGTTCCCAGGGTTTATTAGGGGAAATGTACATCAAATATTTGGGGTGTGTGCAGCCTAAAAGTGCCAGGATACTGCCATATGCTCCACATTTCTCTGATAAAAATAGGGACGTCCTATTTAGTAATAAATAATAATAATACCCCACCTATCTGAACTGGGTTGCCCCAGCCACTCTGGGCAGCTTCCAACATATAGGCAGTCCTGTATAGGGAAGTTTCTTAATGTTTAATGTTTTATTTTGTTTTTATATAATAAAACATTAAACATTAAGAAAACTTCCTTATACAGGACGGCCTTCAGATGTCTTCTAAAGGTTTTCTAGTTACTTATCTCCTTGTCTCAGCGGGTCACATAGCTCCATACCCTCGAACATTTCTCCAGTGAAAATAAGGACATCCTAAGGAAAAGCGGGACATTTTGGGATCAAATCATAAACGGGACAGATTCTGTAAATCCGGGACAGCCCCTGGAAAATAGAGACACTTGGGGGGGGGGTCTGTACTGCTTCAATCATTCCTTTTCTCCCCAGAAACACCTATTTATTTTAAATGTTACTATATATGTTGGAGGTGCAGCCATTCTGTGCTACGTACAGCCAGATTCACTGATAATAACCACAGACATGTTCATAACCACATATGTAGAGAAATGGGCAATGCAGGCCTCACACTAAAATCTTGCATGTCACACTGTGACAGATAAAGTCAACACAGGCCACCAGACAAATTTTTCTGAACTCCCGCCAAGCTTGTCAATGCAAAGCCAATTACAAATCAAACCAAGGGGAGCTAACCAATCGCTAAAAAGTTCCAGAGGTGATTTTTAGCTTTTAATTACAATCATACAGATATTTATCACACTTTACATCATTGGGAAGAAAACAGTGACTTCCAGCTTAATGATCCAAGTGAGGCTGCAAGAATATCAAGGCAACTCTGGGATTATTCCAGCTATTATATTATTATTATAATTAATCGAGAGACTCCCAGTGAAGGTGCAAATGCTTATAATTTGTTTGCTGCAAACCTATAGTCTTCTTTTTTTCTTACGCCTTTGTATAAAATGTCAAAGAAAGATCACCACCATTATTTTATTTGCAATCACTCGTTTCTTCGAGAAATAATTGGGAAATTTGCCGGCTGTTTATTTTGGAAAGATTGCAATCAGCTTTCCCGTTCCGGCATGTGTGTACATGAAACTCATTTGCAACTTTCTGTGATGTTGAAAGGAACACTCATTAGTTGCTAGAAGCCTGAAGCCAAGGAGCTGGCTGCTTAGTTCAAAAGAATATGTGAAATTCAGCCCCAGATTTATCTTTCCCACCCAATGCTTCATGGTTATTGCCAACTCCGTTGGATTCCCAGGTCACAATAAGAAATGGTAGAAGTCATGACTGCCAAAATTCCACTGGCAGGAGTCTAGACTCCTTACTTAGCTACTCACTGCCATATCCAGCTTGCTCTCATCTTTGGCTCTCTGTCACCTTCCTGTCAATAATGAACAACCCTCTCTCAAGGCCCTGTGTGGCTCCATTATCCATCCTTATATCCAGATCTTGCCTTTGTAGGCAGTTCCTGACTTTCATCTCCATTTTTGCAGTGCCTTCCCCACAGTTCTCTCTTCAACGCTACCATGAAACCATACTGCCTCCTCAGATCTTGACCGCTTTGACATTTCTTCAGAGCTATCTCTCTGCTTGGTTTTTCTGTCTCTGAGTTTTCCTTTAAGCCTCCTTTCCCACTTATCTTTCCAGCCACCTCTTTTTAAATCCTGTGGTGGCCAATTAGGTAAAAAAAGAAAAGAAAAAAAAAGGAGGAGAGAAGGGGACACAAATTGGCATAAGAGTTCCGTATCCTAATTTATGACTAATTTAATACACAGGTGCAAATTGCGGCAATTTAATTTCCCCTCATGTGGGAAAGACTGTGACCTTTGTGCTTGTTTCGTTTGTTGTCGAGCTGCTGCCAATAGGCAACTTCAAGGCCTCTCCTCTGACAACCCTGAACAACTTGGGACCAGGTTACTTACAAGACAACCTTTTCGGTTGTTGCTCCTGTAGTGTGGAATGATGTTCATGAAGCAGCAACCATCAGTTGTCCTGGTAAGACTTCTCTTTTTCCCTGGCCCATGAGATTGGTCCCTGTTTCATGTGCTTGGGTCTTCTGGATTTTGTTTATTTGCTTTTGTACTACTGTGTTTTAGTTTAAAGTTTTAATGATGTATCATGAGCTAGTTGGAAAAATAGTTTCCTACATTCCTTACATGGTATGCTTTGCCTTTTGGGGACGCCCGGAATTACAAGGGGCTTTGACTGGCTAACTAAAACTTCATCGGCACATTCGTACCTATGGGACCGCCTCTCCTGGTATGTCCCACGGAGGACCTTCTGGTCTTCAAACAAAAACATCTTGGAGGTCCCGGGCCGCAGGGAGGTTAGGCTGGCCTCGACCAGAGCTAGGGCTTTTTCAGCTGTGGCCCCGATCTGGTGGAACGCTCTGTCACAAGAGACTAGGGCCCTGCGGGACTTGACATCTTTCCGCAGGGCCTGCAAGACAGAGCTGTTCCACCAGGCCTTCGACCAAGGCACAGTCTGACCCCCTCCTTTGGTAATCCTCACAGAACTCTAGCCCAATGGTTGCCATTAATTTGATTCTGAATTGATTTTAGAATGAATTGATTTTAGAATGTATTTCAGTTAATTGATTTTATGTAAACTATGTTACTTTTACTGTTGTTAGCCACTCTGAGCCCAGCTTCGGCTGGGGAGGGCAGGATATAAATAAATTATTATTATTATTATTATTATTATTATTATTATTATTTATTATTATATTCAGAGTGACTTCGATTATAATCAGTATTCCACCAATGGAATACATGCACAATAGAATTGTAGACTTGGAAGGGACCCAGAGGATCATCAAGTCCAACCTCCTGCAACGCAAGAATATACAGCTGTCCCATCCGGAGATCGAACCTGCAACCTTGGCGTTATCAGCACCACGCTGTAACCAACTGAGCTATAATAGACTGCATCCAGTCAATTTGGACATCAGTGTATTATCGGATCATGAGGCAGGACTGACAATACCATCACCCTTAATAGGTACAAAGAGAGGGAAGGGGTAGATCTTTTTGCAACGACATAATTTCACTCATACTTTGACTTTACTCAACAGTGCACGGACTTTTCCAGAGCTCCGCTCATTTCCCCTGACAGAGAGGGAAGTGTACAGCCTTAAGCTATTGAAAACACACCGTCGTCACCTTTTGAAATGTATTATCCTCAGGATCCAATTGTTAATCCAGGTCTGTGAAGCTCACTTGAAAGAATAGAGGGCCCCCTCAGAGAAGCATCTAATCTGCCCACTATAGATCTTCAGAGTTGGCAGAGTATGTGTGTTGTATTTAATTTTCTTCTTGAGCTTTGCACCAAAGTTTAAGGCAAAGTCAAACGCAGTCACAAGAGTTTTTGCTGGCCAACTTTGCATCAAAAAGCTCCTTTTAAAAGGGGGAGCAGTAAATGCGCTAATACCTATAGCGAGGCATAAAGGAGCAGGGAACATGAAAAGCAGCAGATACAGAACAGAATCAAACAGGTAAATCTGTTAAAATGTGTTCTCTTTTCATATGTTCCTGACCTCTCTGAAATACTAAGGGCAAACATTGGCTTTTTGTCTACAGCTATGGCACATTCTTTGGCGTGGTTCTATCCTGCTAAGCTGGGGTAAAGCAGCAGCCTTTGGGAGGTCTGTAGTGTGTGGTACCTTCCAAACCCCATTTTCTTAGCAATGATAAATTGCATTTCAGGTTGCGTCTTTGGTTCCCAAACCAAAGCGTTCCAAAACCAAGGAGCACTTTCCCATAGAAAGCAATGCAAAATGGATTAATCTGTTCCAGACTTTGAAAAACAACCCCTAAAACAGCAATTTAACATGAATTTTACTATCTAACGAGACCACAGATCCATAAAACGAAAGCAATAATCAGTGTACTATACTATAAAATAAATAGGACAGTATTGTAGATGATAAAAATTAAAAATATTTTTTTTCTTACCTGTACTGATGATAGTCATTGTTTGGATGGGGGGCTTTTATCCATTTCTGCAGCCACACAATCAATCAATCAATCAATCAATCAGTAGCTGAACTGGGTTCCACACAGTGACAAAAACAAATGAATTGAAAAAGCCTCAAAACAAAACTGCCTAATAAATAGCAAAAACAAAAGGGCCAAACTTAATCTATTCTGGAAATCCGTTTGACTTCTGAAATGTTCAAAAACCAAAGTGCAGCTTCCGATTGGTGCAGGCGCCTGGAAACAATAGCTGACAGCTGCTGTGATGGCCTGGGCTTCGGACTCGGATGCTGAACCTGAGGGATCCCAGCCTGCACAGGATTCCCTGCCTCCAGAACCAGCTGAGCTGGGGCTGGGGCATGAGCCCGAAGGGTCCTCACCTGTGCTGGATCCTCAGGTGCAGGCATCAGCTGAGTCTGCTCTGGCTCCTGAAGTGATGGAGGACCCATTGTCTGCAGGTGCTCCACTCTCAACCCCGTTAGAGGAAGCCGAGGTTGCCTCTGGGTCCGGTAACCCTCCAGCCTCTCCTGAGCTTCAGAGGCTCAGGGCAGAGAGGCGGGGGGAACTAAGTTCCCGCAGGAGGAGTGCTCGCCCCCAGGCCAGGAGAGGCGAGTCACAAGAGGATCGGGGCCGCCCTAATGCCTTGGGGCAGATAAAAGCCGGCCAGCCCCAGTCCCAAGTTGTGGGAGCAACATTGTTGGTTGCTAGTTTCTGCCTGAACCCTGTCCTGCTTTCCTGCCTGAGCTGACTTCACCTGACTCCCTGCCCTGCACCCAGCTTCAACTACTACGGACTGCCTCCATGTTGCGCCTTTGACCATGGACCGGACTTGGACCTTGCCTCTCGGGTAACCCATGGGACCAGCACAGCTGCATCGGATGTTTGGCTTCTGAAAAATGTTCGAAAACCAGAACACTTACTTTTGGGTTTTTGTCATTTGAGAACCAATGCGTTTGAGAACCCAAGGTACCACTGTAAAGGTAAAGGACCCCTGACCATTAGGTCCAGTCGTGACCGACTCTAGGGTTGCGGTGCTCATCTCACTTTATTGGCCGAGGGAGCCAGCGTACAGCTTCCGGGTCATGTGGCCAGCATGACTAAGCCGCTTCTGGCGAACCAGAGCAGCGCACGGAAACACTGTTTACCTTCCCACAGGAGCGGTACCTATTTATCTACTTGCACTTTGACGTGCTTTTGAACTGCTGTATAGCAATTTAATTCACCAAAATTGTAAGTGCTTGTAGGCATTACTACGTGTTTAAATTTGATTGGTTGGTAACTGAATTCTCGAGAGTCCTCTAGTCATTCTCATGTGATTGGCCAACACTGGTCACATGCAAGGTATCTAGTGAAGGAGAGACTCCCATTTTATGTGAAGCAAGATGACTGTGTTTTAGAATCCACTGTGAACACTAAGTTATGTAGAGTGTCGGAGTGCTTCTTCTCTGCTTGAAAGAAAAAGAGCAAAGCTGAAGGAGAAGGTAAAAGTGGAAATCTCTCATAGGAACTGCAAGGCATAGCCTAACTGAGATGCAGAATGATGAGTGCTGAGCTCTGGAAAGAGAGGAAAATACTGTTTGGCACTTAGAAGAAGAGACTCTAAGCCCATGCTTAGACAAGCATGCGATTGTAAATATTATGCTTCAATTCATCTATAACTATTGGTTTCTCCAAGTAAAGTCTGGACACTGGTCTAATTGCCAAAGAAGGGTGTTAGTCACATATATGACTTGAGTTTCTAAACTGCGATTTCGCTACCCTGTACTTCAACAAAAGATCCACTGGATCCTAAGCCAATTCAGCAACTGGCAGGTAGGGATGGAAAGAACGTGTCCATGTCAGTTCTCTAAGTTTCTCATTTTTCCACTCTTAAATTCACTTGTTTATATTTTGCAGCAATTTGCATATTATATATATTTAAAAATCCTCATGGAAGTTCATCAGCATTTAGTGTGAATTTTTCCTAAGCAACACATTTTATATAGAGTTTTGACTAAGATGTACATTTTTGCAAGCAATGTTCCCTGATATAACGCATTTTGGTGTGTTGTTTCTGCTAATCAGTAGCTTCATTTTTATGCACACTTTCCTGTAATTTTTGCAATCAGCGGGTGGGATACACAATTCAGGGAAGTGTGAATTTTAAAAGATGGCAGTGTTTCAGTTTGAATATAGTTTTGGAAAGTGCAGATTTCATAGTTTGGGCTTTAAACACATGCTGAATTAAATTTCTCATCCATCTCTACCAGCCAGTTGCAGCCATGAGCCCAATCTAGATCTCTCTGCTATGCCAGGCTGGAGCTGGCACAGGGAAAATTCTGATATTTCCTCCCACCCATCCCTCAGCTCACCTTCCACCCTGGCCCATGTGAACAGCAGGACATCAGTAGCAGCAGCAAGAGATCATTTGCAAACATGCATTTAATAGCCCGGCCAAGAAATATTTTATTTGCAGACAAGAAGGTGGTGAGGGTTTTTTTAGAAAAAAGTATTGCATTTAATCACAAGACACTGCAGATGGAGCTTCACACTGAAGTGGCTTTGTGACTCCAAACCTGTGGCAGTTTTGTGATTGGCTGCCTAACAATGAATAATGCAACTTTGAAAAGCAAGTACAAAATACAACGAGGACTGGGAGAAGGGGAATTACCTTGCTTTGTGACAAAATGAGCATTCAAGGTTCTTGTATTAATTTGCAAGGCCTTTAACAACTTGCTGCCCTGGGCTCATTTGCAAGGAAGAGTGGGATATAAGTCTAATATAGAAATAATAAACAAGTTGAGTCCTGGATATCATAAGGACTACCTTATCCCTTCTATCCCTGCCCAGTTACTAAGAACTTTTTTTGGGGGGTGGGTCTTTATTCGTGGTCCACCATGGGTAAGGGGCATGGCTCTCTCCCAATCGAGATTGAACTTCAGGTGTACAACAAAGACTTTTCTATTCCAGCAGTCATTTTCAGATTTATGTTTGGTTTTATGATGAGCTTTTCTTGTTTATTCTCTGTAAGGCTTATTTTTTATGTACACTGCTTAGAAATTTTAATGATAAAGTGGCATAAAATGATAAAGCTTTACTACCCAGGACAGGATGGGGTTGTGCAGGGTTGTTAAGGCAGCAGAGAGCATTGTTGGCTGCCCACTCTCCACCTTAGAGCAGATTTATGCCACAAGGTGCCATAGGAAGGCACTGGACATAGTAAAAGATCCATCGCATCCTGGTCACTGTCTCTTTGAGCTCTTGCTGTCAGGACGGAGATACAGGACGATGAAGACAAGAACGAGCCGTCTTAAGAACAGCTTCTTCTCCAGAGCGATCTCGGCCCTGAATGGGAAGCCCGGACTTTGAAAGTCATCTAATCTCCCTTGCTGTATTATACTGTATTGATTAATTAGAGTTTTTATGGAGCAGTCAAGTAATTTCGTTGTCCCCGAAGGGGGCAATGACAATAAAGATATAATAATAATAATAACAATTATTATTATTATTATTATTATTATTATTATTATTATTATTTTATTATTAAAAATGCCAGAAATCACTAAATCTAGTGAAAAAGAGGACAGGGCTGTTGAGTAGTATAGTTGTAGTCTGCAGACCCTCTAAGCGTCCCAATTTTCCCGGGATGGTCCCGGATTTACAGATGCCGTCCTGGTTTCTTAATTGATCTCAGAATGTTCCACTTTTCCATAAGACGGCCCAATTTCATCAGAGAAATGTTGGAGGGTATGAATGTGCCATTAAAACTGACACATGATTCCCTCTTCTACATAAATATCAAAGGTGCTGGAGTTCCTGTCCTCTTCTGCATCAAGCTACCTTATTACTACCTAAAAGCTGAGCAGCCAAGATCTCCTTGGGACTGAGGGCTCATGATCAGGGTGCAACAACTGAGAAGGTATCCACTTATGTAATCAGCCATTTGCCCAGCTTATTTATTGAACTATTTTG